TTAGTTGTGCTGCTTCTTAATGACGGTATCTTAGCAAACAACCCCAACTACCAGATTCAGCTTGTAATTGGCTAAAAATATGGAATCCACAGCTGTGTGTGTTCATGGAGCTGCATGTTCACCTGCTGGACGTCACTACCTGACAGGTTTAACTGTCTTCAGAACATTGCAGAGGCCTTATTGACAGTGTTTGGCTCTACATATCTGTGTGAGCAGATTTTCTCTCACATGAGTCCTCAGGTAGCCATGTGAATGCTGGACACTCGGAGACCAGTGTCTCTGAGTGGGAGACCAGAGATCACAGTAACATGTGTGTCTCTGTATTAACAAACATGCTATATTGGGCCAGTTTATTTTTCTTATCATTGTTGTGAGGAGGCCATAAACAGCATTTGTAGTTTCTGTTGTACAGTTCATTTGTTGTTATGGATAAAAAGTCTTTTTTTTGTTTCCAAATAGCTGATAACTATTCACTGATAGCTGCCTACATCTGCAAACAAATATAATCCTATAAAGTGGTTCTACATAGTGTGTAACTGTTCATATAGAGCTTTATTACATTTATTGCTAATGCAATCATATGGCACACTGAAATTTTAGATGCACTCATCATCAGAAAGGTTGCCGAGCCCTGCTCTACAGTAACAGCCAAGTTAGCTCTGTGAGTGACTCCACGATGATTGGATGTGTTGTTGTATCTGTGGTCGAGGATGAATTATGACACGATGGGCACTAGAGCAGCATGCTAAAGAAAAAAAGGTCTACAGATGACAGAAATGTGTTTTTGGTCTATGTTGAACTTTTCTTTTGTGTGTCTTTGCGGTGGTTTTGCACCCATTTGTTTTATTTTTGTGTCTCCTTTCAGTCCATTTGAAGTGTTTGTGGTCGTTTTGAGACTCTGTGCAATCCTTTAGTATCATTTTGCATCCTTGTTTTCATTTTGTGTGCCTTCTCATCTCCAACATCTTTGTGTGTTTCTCTGTGGCTGTTTTGTGTCAGCTTGTGGTCGTTCAGTCTGCAAACATGTTTCATCTGCTTCATGCTTCTTTCAAGAAATTTCCACATCCACTTGTGTTTATTGTGTCTTCTTTTTCACTGGTTAATGTCTCTGTGATCAGTTTGTCTCCATTTCTGGTCCTTTGAATGTCTTTTTTGTTATTTTTATTTCACTTAACTTTACAAGAGGAAATATCACTTAATACGAAGGCCCTCAGACTTGGCCTGTGGCCTGCAGACCTTGGCAGTAATTGCTCGATGTCTGTGCTGATGTCAGGTCTCGGTAAGTTGTGTGAACTGATCAGGAACAAGACTTGTATTTACTAAAGCTGCTGCAGCAGCAACAGGAAATTAAATGAGAAAAACAGGAAATGGAAGAAATGAAAAACTGTATGAGCTCCAGCAGGGTTGTAAAAGTCTACTGGCTATGAGGCAGCAATGCCTGATCCACAAGCTGCTTACAGACTTACCCGAGAAGAGTTTAGGCTAAAAGTGAAGTGAGCGAGCCAGCGATGTGCCGAACAGTCTGAACATTGCTCTTCTAAAAATACGTCTTCTCTTTGTGATTATGGTTTAATGTGTCGATAACAGCAGAAACTGCAAAACTGAACCATTCCACATGCTTTTTGGATTCACAGCAACTTCCTGCTTTATGGCATGACCGTATTTTAAAGGACTAATCTCTAAAATAGAAAAACATGAATTTGTAAGTTTGCTCACTCTCAAAGGACGAGACTGTAGACGTGCACAGGTTTAGAATGGACCACAGCAGCGGTCCCCAACCCCCGGGCCACAGACTGGGACCGGTCCGTGAGTCGTTTGGTACGGGCCGGGAGAGTTGAGGCTCGGGTGGTTTTCAGAGTTTTTATCGGTAACTCGGTTTCCCTGGGTCTTTTCCCGTGTTGTAGTTGTGTTTTATTTTGAAAGAAATATTTACACGTTACCATAGCGACCAGAGAGCATTAAGGGGCAGAGAGGAGGATGTTACGCTCAATGTTGTTGGCGCATTTCAGGAGGACGCTGCTAATAAAGTTACACAGTTACACAGTGAATTCACGTTTATTATTATATTTACAAAACACCACAGTTTTTGTCTCGGTCGTATCGTTTTATTCTGTTGTAATTATCCACGAGACCTTAAAGGCTCCGTGAAAATATTGTCTGATATTAAACCGGTCCGTGGCGGGGGAGCGCTGGACTACACGGCCATCAGCAAGAAGCCTGGTGAGAGGGCGACAACTGTTGGTGAGATTATTGCAAATGGACAAAATATAAATGACCATGAGAAAGGTGGTTGTTAATAATCTGAAGGCAGTTGGGACGACAGTCATCATGAACCCCACTGGTAACACACTGCATGATTGAGAAGGCTTGGAAGAAAGTGCTGAGGAAACCAACATCGAGCTCTTTGGCACCAACTGGACGTGCTGGGTTGGAAGGAAGACGGCTCAAACGACAACCACAGTCAAGCACGGAGGCGAGGACATCGTCAGATTTTCTGTTAAGGATACAGGACAACTTGGCTGTAGGATGGAGCTGCATGGATTGAACTTGGATGAGAGCTTCCTTCCCTCAGCCAGAACACTGAAGATGAGTTGATGAGTCTTTCAGCAAGACAGTGACCGAAAACATACCACCAAGGCAACAAAGCAGTGACTGAAGAAGAAGCACATAAAGGTCATGGCTTTGTCCAGACAGCTGAAGCTTTCCTTCAGAAAGCTGAAGGATTGAGAGAGTTTCTGTAAGGAGGAGCCGGTCAGTCACCCTCCTGAGATGTGACCAACAACAGGAAGCATCTTACTGCTGTTCTTATCAGCGTGGGTTTGCCCACCAAGTTTAAGACACCGAGTCTGAATGCTTCCTCTAACTTTTATGTATATGTGGAGGCAATAAACAAAACACCAGGCTGAATATGAATACAAATGTATTCCACGCAGTGTTAGAATGAACCGCACGTGTGATGTGTGCGTGTCTGTGTGTAGCTGAGTGTAATATCATGTTTGGACACATCAGGCTGTGTGAGGAGTGATGACAGCAGATGCTCCTTTTCATTAATAACACAGTCTCTGTCCTCCTGCTGTGTTAGCTGCAGAAGATGTTCCTGCACTGTGTTCTGCGTGGATAATGAATGACTCCCATCAGCTAACTCGTTTACTCCTCTCCTCACTCCTGCTCGGCAGCTTCATAATTAAATTTCCTCGTCGGGACAGAAATGCTGTGGGCAGCTGGAAGCATCTGCACGGGCGCAGGCGGGCTGGAACACTTCAGTCCGTCTGACAGGCGGTCAGCTGACACGTGTGGAGCTCGTGAACTCGTTTTAGGGAAGATTGACTTTATTCATTTTGAAGGACTGCAGCGCGCCTCATTAGTGCAGCTGCGGTGAAACGGTTACCTCACAGCAATGAGGTGCTGAGTTCAAACCTGCCAGGCGACAACCAGACAGTTTGTTGACATTTAAACGGTTCTCTTTGAGGCGCTGTTCCCAGATTCACTTTCATTGCATTTTCATGCATTTTGCAAGTGCAGCTACCAAAAAGCAGAATTGCATTCAACTGTTAAACTGCGTGTAACTGACATGATGATGCGTCACAGTAAGCACATTTGAAGCAGATCGGTAGGCAAACAAGGACGGTGAATGTCTGCCTTCCTCGCCTGATCACTGTCTACTGGTTCTGGTCCAGTAATGGCGGTTGGCTTTGGATTCGTTTGAGGTGTTGAGAAATGAAATGAAGCCAACACAGAAATGCACTTCCTCTAATCGGCAATGAGACCGTGTCCAAAAGTGAGTCAATCCCCACAGAACCCCAGGTTTACAGGCTGGTACAACAAAATGGTTTTAGCATCTATGGCTGTACTGCTGTCTTCAGCTTGCAGCCTCTGCGCCTGTTTCAGAGCAGAAAGGTAAAATGTTTTCTTTCCTTCTGCTTCATTTTGTCTTTATTTACGAGACTAAAGCTGAATGCACGACTGTTTATTACTTCGGGGAGAAGCTGCAGCCTAAACCCGACCTTTTCTTCAGAATTTGACAACACAACAGGTCTCCACTTTCATTAAAGTCTGCAGCACCACACGTTTCCTCAGTCGCACTGATTCGCTGGGTCTTAATCAGCCATCGTTCGGTCCCGTCAATAAGGTTTAAATTAGATTTTGCAAGTGCTGCTGGTTTCCTGCTTTCTAATTCATACTGAATAATAAAAGGAGAAGCAACTCTGCGCCTGTGCTGCATTTTTGTTCTTTGTGCACAAAGACAAAACTGTCAAACGCTGATCATTCCGGCGTATGAGCGTCGAGTTATGCACTGACTGTCAGAGGAAAGGGATTACTGTCTGTTCTGAGTACTTCCAGCAGCGTTTTTGTGTTACAGGAATAGAAAAACCTGCATAAAAATCCCTGTGAGCTTTAAATGGGATTTAAATGGTCTCCTGACAGCAGGAGTCCAGCCGGAGTTTCCTCGGGCATCTGTTTATATCTGCGGGATGAAAAAGATTTCAGTGTGATGTCTCTGTCTGTTCAGCCGTCTCCCAGTCAGATCATAAACAAGGAAACGTATCTCTGATGCGAGACTCGCTCATGGACTTTGTCATGTTCGCTAAAATTGGACTCAAATTCATGTAAAGAGAGTAAATAAAACTAATGTATTCATTAACACTCACACACACACACACACACACACTCACACACACACACACACACACACACACACACACACACACACACACACACACACACGTGTTAGGGAGGATTGTGCCGTTTCAGTCGTCTTGCTTCAGGATTTATCCCGTGGTGCAGAACAGAGCTGCTCCATTGTTCTGCTGGATTACAGTGGCTTAGTCTCATTGTATGTGTGCATGTGTGTGTGCACTTGCATTACTACTTTTGTGAGGACATAAATGTGTTTCCACAGTCGCACTGTGGGGACTCTACTTCTTTATGGGGACAAAAATTAAGTCCTTACAATGTAAATCATGACGTTTTGCATGACGGCAGGTTTATTTTTTAGGATAATTCTCTAGGAAATGAATGCAAGTCGAGGAAAAGATAACTGTGTGTGTCTGTGGGAGGCCTACATGTGCTGCGATGCGTTGGGGAAGGCGGTGCTGTACTGCGGGGCAGAGTCTTCGGGTCCATGAGGGGCCGCGTGACTCAGAACCATCAGAACAGGGCGGTGAGGATAAAGTCGCTTTGAAGAGCGGAAGTAACGGATCGACTCTGCCGTGATCAGGTCGGTCAGGTAGTCCTGGAAGCACAACAACACACATCACTATTATTAACCCTGATTTTCTTCACTTTAAGTTAAAACTCACTTAACATCCACCGAATCAGTGACGAAGCAGTCAGCGCAGGATCAGAGTTCATTTCAATTTTAGCCACATGCTAAACTATTCCTGACCCATCAAATCAGGCCTCTTACAAACAGCTCTGCTGACATCAGATTGACCAATAAATAAAAAATGCATAGACAGTATTTGTGAAACTAAAAACGTTAACATGCAAACAATTCATCAATGGAGAAAAATGTTTCTAATAAATTCTAATAAACAATTAAAAAATAGTTACTCAGGCTTAAAGCGATGGAAATGATCATTCAAAGGTTTACACAGACACTGATGTGGCCTTCTGGATCCTCCTTAATCAGTATCAGTCGATATAAACTTAAACTTGGTTCTAATATAGCAAAGTTAAAAAAGTAATTTCTTTCTTTTTTTGTTGTTTATTTGATCGGCCTGTTAGGACGGCGGTTGCCTTTCAGCAGCTTCCTACCATACAAACACATTCAGTTAGCGGGGCTGGGTTAACTGGTGACTCTAGCTCGCCCCACGACAGAATGACCACATGTCCGGGGTGTTCGGCCCACTCCACCCTCCGACACTGAATCAGATTAGCAGAAGCACTTGGATTGGACTGGTAATCACTGGATTGACATGCTGTCCCTTAACCTGAACCTTAGATGCTGTTTAGCGTAATAAGCATCGCTCGCTTCCGCCTCTATGATTACTTGCGTCCATACTTACAGTCCATACAGAAAAAGTGAGCCGTAACTCTAATAAGAACTACGTTGGGCTTGCATTGCTGTGCAGCGACAGAGTTGTGTTGTGTGTCCTCACCTGTGGATACTGCGCTCCGTGCTTCTCTCGCACGCCGTTGCGACACAGCGTGTAGTTGTAGAAGCGGCTGTTCTTCACCAAACCGAGCCATTCCCTCCACCCGGCGGGAACGTATGAACCATTGTACTCGTTCAGGTACTTTCCAAAGAAGGCTGGAGAAAAAGCACAGATGTATTAACAGAAGCCTCACAAAGCCCGAGTGCGTGTTTGTGCATTTGCCTACCTGTCCTGTATCCAGTGTCGTTGAGGTAAACGCCGAAGGTCCGTGGCTCGTGCTGCCGTTGCCAAGACGGCGAGGAACAGTTCTCGTTGTTGGTGTAGGTGTTGTGGTTGTGAACATACCTGATGGAGACAGAACACGTGTTACTACAAGAGGCTTGGACTTTGTATCCCAAGTCTCATGTAAAGTTATTTTAATAGTTCTGCTAATAGCGCTTTGGTAATAAAACACATCCATTATAGGATTTTCACCCTTTCCTTTACACATGAAGACATTAAAATCACCTGTCTAATATTACTAACGTCTTCGTTGGGCCGCCAAACCAGCTTTGACCTGTTGGGGCACAGATGATCTCACACTGAGGCATGCAGCTGATTAATTTAACACCTGCATCAGGCTGGTTCTCTGCAGAAACCCACAGCCAAGACACGATAACTAGAAAGAGCTGTAAATGACTCATAAGCAGCTGGTTGCTTACAAAACATAAGAACAGAAGAATAGAATAACCCGTTATTGTCATTGTTCAAGGAACCTGTGATCTGTCAGACGCCACTGCTGCTCTTGGGTAGTTGTTGTTGCTTCAAAACCGCGGGCCTCCTTCTGACTCAGAGAGGAGCTACTACTTAAAGGTGGTGTAAGTGGGGAAAGTGAGTAGACTAGCCGATGGAGAGCAACTGAGGAGCAAATTGCCTTTAACGTGTAATAATTGGTGGAATAACTGGTTACAGCATTCGGCAAATCATCAAGCTAGATATAGGTCGAACTTGATCGATCCTTAAGTGTAAATGTGCTTCATTATCCTCTTTGACTTGATTAATAAAATTAACATCCTTTTGTATTTAATAAGATTTGAAACTAGCACCCAACCATGACCTCATCAGTGAAGTCTTTACTGAGGTCAGGAACGACCTTTTTCCTGTAGACAGTTTATACATCGGCTGTCTTTTTGCACTTAGACGAGTTGCCCCCTGCTGGCCAACGGAAAAAATGCGTCTCGGCTCTGGCTTCACTTTTCGGGTGTAGTAGGCACCTCCATCTTTGGAACTGTACTTACTTCCCAGTGAGCATGCTTGAGCGTGACGGACAGCACATGGGCGTGGTCACAAAGGCATTAGAGAAGGAAGTCCCGCCCTCCTCCATAATGCGGCGAGTCTTATTCATTGCCTGCATCGACCCTACATGGAGAAACCCACGGTTAGCACATTGTAAAGCTTGTCCACCTGCTTTGGTGATAAGTTCCTTGGTTTCTGTTGAAAATTGTTCAAAATCATTTGCCTCATAAGGCTCGACATAAAATGGAGAGTGACAGCTGAAACATGGTTCTTATTTAAAATGCTCGATGATTAAAGATCAACTCTTTCCTCATAAAGAGACGTCATTCGACCACCTCGCCTCTGCCCTCAATAACAACTTCTGACACCTCGCTTTATATCAGTAAAGTCGTGGTTTGGCGACCATTAGAACACTTTACAGGTTCTTCTGAGGGCAGCTGCATTGGCGGAGACCACGCTCACCAACTTCTGACGCAAACCCAGCAGCTTTGTTCTACGAGCTAGCCTGAAATATGACAGAAACTGCTCGGCTCAGAAAGACGCTTCAAAGGTTACTCTTAGTAAGCTTTGAAGGTTTGAAGAGTTTACCACACCTGTTCTGGTCAGAGCAATGAGCTACTAAGCCAGTACAAGACCCAATGAGTCTAACAAGCAGCGAAGAGGTTACAGAGTAACAAAAGTTCTCTCTTCCTGCAACACGCCTGCACAATCTACAATCATAATCTCAGACAGCAGCAGACAACAGCCATTTCCAGCTGTATGTCGTTAATAATAGAAGATTCATTTTTGGATCGCAGAGAGGAAGTTAGCCCTAAAAAGGCTCCCAGACAGTGATCATTGCACTCTGACCTGTTAAAGAACAAGATAAAGGAGTTACTTAATGATTCAAACACTTTGACTTGGAAGTAAAGCTCAGTTGTTCAAGCTGCTCAAACGAGATCTGTCCGATGTATTAATATGACGTAATATTATGTTAACTGTGTATTACTGTTAAACTGAGACTTTTTTATGAGCACACCAGCGTGTTACCAACAATTACATTAACAGTACAGACAGTCAGACTAATGCTGATAATAAGGCTTGTAGTGGAGTTTCAGTCACCCAGCTCCATGTCCTGGTCATCAGTCAGGATGAGGATGATGTTTGGTCGGATGTTGCGTCTGTCTCTCTGGAGGCGGGGCTTCAGGCGTTGCGTAGAAGAAAAATGAGCGTGACAGAGCGCCACGGAGACAAACAGGAAGAGGAGAAGTCGACCTGCCATGGCCTTTGACCCCCGGGCCTCCCCACAAAGGTCAACCAATCAGCTGCTTCCCACAAGTTGTCTCAGCTTCTGGAAAACACACAAAGAGACCGCCTCGAGTTCAGAACCGAGGTTCAAACAAATCTGCGTGAGACTGAGCCACCGGTTTACAACGTTCGCCATTTCCAGCTCCATATTTTTATTCCTCGACTCCACTTAGAGAATCTTGGCATGACCCAGGACTCAGGATAATCCATATTTATCTTGGTGCCCCCTCAGTTTATGCTGTCTCTCAAACAAGCCGAGCTCCTATCCTATCAAGGCCACCCTGCCTGCAAGACAGCTTTCCTCTGACTTACCGTTCACAAACAGAAGATTTGAACAGTCGATGGTGGAGTTCCTGTGCTACCAGTCTAAGATGACCACAGTTTAGTTACCATAGAAGAAGAAATATGTATGAAACAGAGTGTTTATGACAGGCTGACGCCTGCGTTTTAGGCTCGGATATACTGAAAGAGAAGACCTTACAAAAGGATTCAAAGTGGCGTCTACACCGTACCAGAACCACATAATGTTGCTTTAGTTATAGATATTTTAGGAAACTGTTTTCCTTCTGATATTGCAAACACTTCCTCAATCTGTTGCTAACATTCGCTTCCTAGATGCATGTTTGTTGTAGTTGATTGGAATCCTGCAGGTGGTCATCAGCGTCATCAGGATTGATCCTCTTGGAGGCGAAAAGTACCTGCAGCAAATGTCACAGTAATCTGGCCAGCAGCGGGTCAGATATTTGAAAAGGCCAAACGAATGCCCCGCTGCTCGCGCAGCTGTCGGACGTGTTATGACTGTTGCAGCAGCGTTTGGCTGAAATGTGGCTGCGGTACGTGACGCGCTGCGTTTATTTACTGCGCGAGGGCGGGAATGTTGATGATCCATCCAAGAGAGCGCTGCTTTCACACAGCAAAAATAATAATAATAAAAAAGTCAGAGATTTCTGGTCCCAGTAGTTACAGGACACACACACATACAAACACACACACAGTTGTCATTAGCTGCAGTCTATTGTTTCTCTGATAATAAAACGCTGAAATCTTATCAGTCACACTGACGTAAAGCACAGTAGAAATGTGTGTGTCTGCAAGTGTGTGTGTGTGTGTGTGTGTGTGTGTGTGTGTGTGTGTGTGTGTGTGTGAGAGAGAGA